GGGGAAGGGAGGGGCTGTGCTAGGGGGGGAAGGGAGGGGAGGAGGTGACAGCACCAGTCCGTATGTATGTATTTAAGTGCGGGGAGAGGGCAAAGGGATAGCAGGACTCGGGTGGAAGGGGAGAGAGAGGTGCCCCCAGTGGATCGACATGCCAGATGGCGGTGTCACGCTGTTTGTTTGTATGTCGATACCTGGAGGTTCGTCTTTGGCTCGTTTGGGGGGGGGACTGAGGGTTGGTTTCGGAGGTGCTGAAGTCCATGCCTTAGGGTGTGACCTGTTTTACATACATACGTATGTACGTATGTACATACGCACATACATACCGTGAGTCAGCGGGTGCTTCCCCCCTCCCCCTCCTTCATACGAAGTCCCTTTCCCCCCTGTCCCCCTTCCCCCCCTCGCTCCAGGGTTTTGTTGCAGTCGTACTGACCGGCGACACGATGAGGCTGCACTTCTATACCACCGGGCAGAGCGGGCCCACATACACGCGCTCCCTCTCACCGCCCCCACCACCCCCGTCTGGGTGAGGTGCTGACCGGGCTGACGGACTGACGGACTGACAGCAAACCCACCTACCGACATACCGACCGACAGTGATTGGCGGACTGAGAGCCACCACCACTGCCGCCGGCTGTTAGTGGACAGCGGCTCGGGACTGTACGGCATTAGTTGTGGTAGTTGGTTAAGAGGGTTAAGGACCCAGGGTGATGCTGATACAGACAGACAGACAGACAGACAGGCACAGGTGATAGTAGTAGTAGTAGTAGGAGGAGGAGGGCCACCTTAAAGGGGGGAAGGAGAGGGGGGACGAGAGCTGTGTGAAAGTGCAGGAAAAGAGAGCGAGAGAGGGGGCAGCGGGGCGGGGGGAGGACCTGGGTAGTCGCGCGGCCCCTAGCGCGGGGTAAGTGCAGGTTTCACTTTCCTTGTGCCCCTTGGACCCCACCCTCAAGAGCTGTTGGTGGTTGGGTTACGACGAAGCACTCGTGTGTTGGTCGCGTGGTGTGCGGTGTGGGCCTTGTGTGGGCCCCCGATACCCCTTGCTGCTGCTCAGGGTGGCGGGTGGGGGGAGGGGCGTCGGCGGAAGAGGCTGAACATCACCTCGTAGACCCCCGGGGGACGGGGAAGAGGGAGGCGGGGGAAACGGCAAACACTTGTGTCGTACAACTGCAGTAGCAGCAATGGCTTGGCGGGTTCTTGCTTTGCTGGTGGATAGGGTTGGGTGGGTTGGTGCGGTGACTGTGCGGGTGCGGGTGTGGAAATGGCGGCAGCTGGCTGGGAGGAGGGCGGGTGGGGAGAGGTGGGGGAGATGCGCAAGCACTCACCCACACCCACACACACCCACACACCCACACACGCACACTCGACAACGTTTTTCTGTCACTTATGAAGCACTGATGCGCAACGCGTTGCGGCATGCGTTGTTTGCCTGTACGTACGTCTTTATGTATGTATGTCTATATGTATGTGTCTAGCGTGTGCATGGCGGTGAGAGAGCCACTTCATATCTTGTACACGGTGCATGTAAACGCAAGTTCGTTCCTTGTACATCGAATTGAAACACGTCACCGCATCAGGGACCCACCAGGGAGCCAGTTTGTCTGTCTGTCTGCTTTCTGTCTGTCTGCTTTCTGTCTGTCTGCTTTCTGTCTGTCTGTTTGTCTGTCTGTCTGTTTGTCTGTCTGTCTGTCAATTGGCCCAAAGCAACGTATCAGTGAGCCGTTGTGGGGCCCCAGATTTGAAACGCTTGTGAGGGGGGGGGAAACATCTATTCCCCCTTCTCTCCCCCATCCTCTCTCTCTTTGTCCCCACTACCTCGTGCCGCTCGTCACAACCGTCACAACCGCCGCATGTATGTACGGCTGTCTAAGTACCTTCCAACCTCTCTTCCTGCACCGCCCGCATCATCAACCACACTATGCCGTGTTCTGCACCTCTTCATTTCGTACCACTTCACCTCGTACAGCTTCACTTCGTACAGAAATTCACCTCGTACAGCTTCACTTCGTACCCCATTTCACTTCGTACAGCTTCACTCCGTACAAAAATTCACTTCGTACAGCTTCACTTCGTACAGAAATTCACCTCGTACAGCTTCACTTCGTACCCCACTTCACTTCGTACAGCTTCACTCCGTACAAAGAGGGGGTCCCTTGTGAAGCAGCTGCCCACGTTTCTAAAGCCTGTATGTTGTTGGATAGGAAGGTGCATAAGTACGTTTGCGAGGAACAGAATGGTGCCAGGCTGGAGATTCAAGTGCAGTTGCATAATGGAATGTAGATGTTTACAGGGTGTTTGGCGCACGGTGCAATGTACTTGCAGTCATGTCGTTGCGCACGCGTATGCAAGAACAACAGCAACAACAACAAGAACAAGAACAGCACCACAGGAACAGCGCGTGCACAGGCCACGTCGCGTCGGTCCTTTGCTATGATGTAGGAACGAAGAATAAGGCCTTGGTTCAAGTTTCCTGTTGCACGTGGATGGCCATGCCAGAAGAGGCAACATGATGGGTGAACTCGCACGCTACCAACTTGCCCCCGAGCACGCGACGAGCGGACATAGGAAGGAGTGCAGCGGGGCCCCCCCTTTCCCCCAACGCTCACGCAATAGACCATCCCAAGCGCTGCTGACCGTATGGCCAGCAGCCGCCGTTCACACACGAGTTAAGGTCGGACATGTATGCACCGTGAATGAAACCCCAAGTGCGATCGTGCCCAAATACAACAGCACTGCCCAATGTCCAGAAGCCTAGCGCCGAAATCGTGGGACCCTATCCGTCAAGCGTTAGGTTTCCAGTTGCTGTGTGGGCTAGGCGAGCATGGCTGGGGCGTCATGGTCTTGGACTGTCACGGCGGTGGGTGTGTGGGTGCTGCCGGCACGTTGCCAGCTCATCATGTAGAAGGCCGGGCTGGCGGAAGGCGGTCCGTGCAGCACATTGTAGCCGCTCGGCCCCCGAGCCTTGAACTGCGCGATGTAGAGGGTCTCCATTTTTTGGGCTAGAGCAGGATTGGCGGTGGACATGAGGCGCGTGAGGGTGAAGTGGTCTCGGAAGGGTTGGTAGTGGTGGGCGTCATCCTTCATCCAGCTGGGTGGGTTGCGGGCATGAGCTTGGAAGCACCATTGAGGGTCCCGGGACTGGCCGACGTACACCCTTCCGGTCGGTGCGCACGTGATGGTATACAGTCAAGTGCGGGTGGGGGCACTGGAATCTGGCTCGGCGGGGCTGGTTGTAGCTCACTTGGCTGGCGTGGTTGTGGCGAGGAGGGTGCCTGACGCTCACGCCTGCTGCGTGGCCGTCAGCACCGAGAGCGCGAAGTCTTGGTCCGCCTTGAGGACGATGCTGGCGTCCATGCCGTAATCATAGATGAGCGCAATGGCGGTATCCGCTCGCAGGCTGCCGGCAGCCGTGATCCACAGCTGCATGACTGTCGCGTGCATCACCGTTGCTTTGTCCGGCATGTCGCCCTCATGTATTTCTGCCGTCACGTTGTACAAGAACGCTGCATGGGCGTGGAGGGTGGGAGGGTGGATGTGAGGTTGGCGGGATGGCGGGGCGGAAGTGGAGGCATGCAGGGGTGGGGCGTGACAGATAAGGATGCTGTGGCCACATGGCCGGGCAGTTGGAAAGCGGGCACGGGGGACGGCAGCTGGCGCAAGCGAGCAATAGGCAGCAAGGTAGGACGACTTACTGCTGGCGGGCTTGGCGCCGTGCTGCGCCTGGAAGTCGTCCCTGTACTTTCGGCCCTCGGCCAGGAGCACGTTGAACTCGGCGTTGGTGTGCTTCGCGTGCAGGACGTCCTCATCGTGACATCCCATGCTTCCCAAGAGCAGTTGCTGCCTGACGGTACGAGGGGCAGCAGCAGGGTGTGTCAAGATGGTGGATGCATGGGACAGCCGGAGAGGTGCATGGGTGCGCAGCAGGGATGGCATGCGTACTGTTCGGTAGGGTGCAGCACGGCAAGGCGGCTACTAGTACCGGAAGATGAGGCGCTTACTTGAAGGTGAGCGGCCGTCTCGGCACCCCGGCCGGTGAGGAGCGATCGTGGCCTCCGCCGGTTGGCGACACCGCTGCTAGCTGCGCCCACAGGTCAGCTATGTTGACGGGCGGCTTGGCTGCGGCGCCGGCGGAAGAGCCCAAGTTGACGGGCGAAAGGGTCTGAGGTGGGACTTGTGATTGGCGTGCCATTTTCGGAGGCATGTTGTGCGAGGTGACAACAGTAGAACAGGTGTCAGCGAAGCGAAAGTCTGGCTGGCTGCCGTCCGAAAAAGGGAGTTCGGTCTATAAGCAAAAAAAAGGAAACAGGAGAATGTATGAAAAAGAAGGCGACACTGGCTGGCATTTATACAAGTCGCGGCATCGTACAAACGGGACGCTTCAAGGGGGCGGGCTGAATCGGAAGGGCGACGAAGCGCGGTCTGTACGTCTTCGCATGGCGAGCATGGACGACGGCAGCTGCGCTAACGGGTGGGGCGCTGGGACAAGTTGTATGCGGAAATGAATAAAGCGCCATGGACATGGCAGGTGGTCATGCGGAAATGTGAAAGCGGCGCGTTGCGTTGCGCCGAGCACAGCAAAAAGCAGTTGCAAGGCAGGAGCGGCATGCAGCTCGCCCGCACGGTTGTGAACGCGAGTTCGGACAGTATTGGTGTGTAATGTATGAAATGAAGTAAAGTGCGTTAGGTGGTGAGGAGACGGGACTGGGGACATGGTGCTGACGGCGTTGCGCAACTGTAAAGACGTGAGAAATTGTTCGGAAAGGGGCCTCCTCCTGAAGCGCAAGAGATACTCGCGGCCGGTGAAAGAGCCCCGGCTGGCAAGCCAAGTCGGAATCGTTTATATTCTAGGAAATGCACGTCAACTCCAGCCGGATGAATGATGCATGATGTCGGCTAGCACGCGCAATATCCATACCGCAAATTCCATACCGCACAAAAAATGTAGATGGCGAAAAACGCTAGGAGCCGGGACGCAGAATCGCGCTGCGATTCGAGAAGGGCACATGAAAGGGTGGCGCATGCGTGCAGCGATGCGAAGGACCGGCAAGGAGCATGACGTAACGAATTTCGACCATAGCGACGGGTCGGCGGCCGTTAGTGGCGGTCCATACGAAAGAGTAAAATAACGCTAACCGGCTGTGCGCCCGCTGGCAAAAAGACGAACAGACCCAGGGAGCTGCGGACGACACTGGGAAACGTACGCGGCGCGCGAACCGGGAGCGTAGCTGAAAGGTCAGGAAATGCGAGAGGTGCAATGCAGCAGTTGACGAAGAAGCTTTAAGTGGCAAAAGCTTGTTGGCGGAACGGCCATGGCTACTGTCAGACCACAAGAACGGGCGCGACCACATGAACGCACATGAACGCACGCTCCGATCCAGACCAGAACCAGACAATTCGCAATGAAGCACACGCGGACGAGAACGATGCCTCACCGGCATGTAGGTTCGGTGCATGCAAAAGAGCGCAAAGCGCAATCCGGCTGTTCCAAAGAACTGCCGGTGAGGCGGCAACCGCCGGTAACTGCCGACAACTGCCGGCAGTGTAGCACCGAGGTGCAGTGCAGGAGGTGCAGTGCAGGAGTTGATCAGTTGTGAGCAAGCTATTTGAAATGCTGCAGGCGGTGGCGAACACAGATCGGGCTGGCGTCCGTAATGGACAATTGCACGACGTTGCTGGCCGTGCTGTCCAATGTAGTATCAGTGGCGTGTCCAGAAGAGGTAGAGACTGTGCAGTACATCGCTCAGGTGCACGCGGAGGATGGGCAGCAGGCGAGGTCGGCGATGAGGGATGTGGCCATGGCGGCCATGTTCGACATCATTCAGTGGCATGTCCTTCATGGCTGGGCCCTGGCAGTCCCGCTCTGGGAATGCGTGGCGTTGCCCAGCGTGCATGCGAATGAGATTCTGCAGTCGGTGCTGGCCTCAAGCAATGCATCCGGTCTCAAGCAATGCATCCGGTCGCAGTTATAATCTCAGGAATCGCACTTGTCCCGACGCCGAGGAGGAGACTCAAGTGCTGGTGAAGTCGACGCAATCGGCAACATCCATTCAGTGGAACATCTTTCGGTCACAGCTGGCCAAACTGCCCAAACTTGATGCTGACAAGCCCGCTGCAATGTCCGCTCGCGCCCGCTGTCAGTCTAAGCTGACAGATCCTGAAGGTACGCGCCAAAATCATGGCCTCCCACGTTATCACCCTTGTTGTATCATGTTGTAATGGTCATGCGTTGTGTAGATGCTACCACGATGAGGGGATACCTAAAGGGTGCGACCCATCGACGCCTTCCTTGGAGTGATTGTGCAGTCTTCCGGTCAGCCGCGCTGGGTTCTTGGGTATTAGGGCACACGGAAAGATTCGTTGCTTTGCTTGGTGTGTCCTGTCGAAGTCTGCCCAATGACGCCCGTTGTTGCCTGTCGTGGTGCTGGGACAAGACTATGACCAACCACGCGACCCCCCTGCACCCCTTCTCATAGACGGGCTGAGGAACGTCCCCAATAAGCAACTCCTGGAGTTAGAGGAGATGTTATTAGAATCCAACCAGGAGAAGGAGATGGCGAAACAAGCTAGCGCCTGTTTCCCTCCGGCCGGTGAGTTACTCTCGCTTACAGCTTCGACATGTGCGCCTGCAAAGTGGTGGCGCTGCCGTCCGGAGCAATCATGGCCCATCCACGGTAAGTGCAGTGCAGGGGCAAGGGTTGGCGGGGCAGACAAGGGGCATGTGTGGGAAAAGGTAAGGTGACGTGTGCAGTATAGGCACATGTGGCATATCCTGAACGTGTGCTGAGACCGTGTGCTGTTCATGTTGCCAGGTTTGTGTACGGCTGCACATGTGGACGGGTGCAGCTGGTGCTGCTGTGTCAAGCGGCAACCAGTGCGCGCATTGCCAAGTACTGGTCGTGCGGGTGGCTGTGCGAGCCATTTGACGAGGCCGATGAGGGCCTACTGCACCAGCCTGCTGGGGCGACGGAGCCGAGCATGGGTGGCAATGTCATTGTTGTCCGTCCCACGGCCTGTTTGATGTCAGACCTGCTACAGGTCGCACTACGGCTGATGACATTGTGGGAGGCAGCTTCCGATGCAGAATGGTGTCGAGGCAACGTGGCCTTGAGTGTGGTACATGCCATGACGGGAGCCATGATGCAGCTGCCACACATGAAATGGTTGTACATGACGTTTAGGTGCACAGCGTGAGGGGCAGCCCGGCAGGAGTTTGGAACTTCTGCCTTGCACAGAAGGGCGGCAGTGAGCCGCATTCTG